GCCAACGCGAATCCCGCGAATTATTATTATTATTATTAATCTAACAATAAGTAGAAGACGAGCAGCTGCGTAGATCAACGTGCAGACCACGCAACACTACCACGACTACCCCTAGCCCTACGGGTGAAGGACGTGAACAGACTGACGAATTATAATACAAAATGTGTCTGGGGCATGCGCAACAGGGGTTGGGGCTCCCTGTGTAATAGTTAAAGGGGAAGTGCATCGATTTTTCGAGTATGGTCCAGAAGAAAGACAATTTGATATCGGTTCGAATGGCATATCTCTCGCTTCCATACGATAAGCCAAACTTGCCAAATCGCCAATTGTATGCTCACGTTGCCATAGCGACCAGCGCAGTGATGACGTACGAAAGGCTTAGCTCCACCACAGAGAAGGTCGATCACTGCAGAATTCGGTCATTTTCAATTGGTTTATTGTATTCACGAAGTGAAAGAAGGGCTGTGTTCAATGCTGTTAGTGCAGTGAACTGTTTGTTAGTAGTCCTCTCGATTGTGTACTGGGACGTGACACCGATAGGAGAAAGCTGGAGTGCGGAGACACCAGCAGACAAGCGAAAATAGTGACGAACAAAATGCTGAAATCTTGGTTGGGACAAATCAGACGTTCAGCATTTCCCCCAACCAAGGACCATGCCGTTTGCTCTTTCCACTTCCTGAAGATGAATGTGATGCTTCCTGGCGACTCTCCTATCTCTCGTAACATCTTCTGAAGCCAGGTGAGACGACGGGTGGTGGAGATTGACGAATGAAATAATGTCGTAGGTTTGAAAGTTTGCTGAAAATGTCTCAGGAGAGATGGCGAATTCCAAGCATCTTGTCCTGGAGGAAACCATTTCCTAGGCACAGTCAGCCTAGGAAAATGCATGAGAAGGGCGATAAACAGTTCACGGCACTAACAGCATTGAACACAGCACTTCTTTCACATCGTGAATACAATAAGACAATTGAAAATGACCAATTTCTGCAGTGATCGACCTTCTCTGTGGAGGAGCTAAGCCTTTCGTACGTCATCACTGCGCTGGTCGCTATGGCAACGTGAGCATACAATTGGCGATTTGGCAAGTTTGGCTTATCGTATGGAAGCGAGAGATATGCCATTCGAACCGATATCAAATTGTCTTTCTTCTGGACCCTACTCGAAAAATCGATGCACTTCCCCTTTAATACTTTAGAAGTCTTTATGCGTGCAGTGTGTTGGTCCAGAGAGGGCTGCGTTCCACCAGCCTATGAGCATGACAATTATAATTGTGATGAAGAAAGGAAAAGGACAAAATGTTACGAGTTATGACAAACTGTCCAGTGTCCACCAACGTAACCAGATCTTATACAGTCAGCGAGTGCGACAAAATGGCGGTTACGTTGGTGGACAGTTTGTAATAACTCGTTACATTTTGTCCTTTTCCTTTCTGCAACATGACTATATTGGCTCTCCATCCGAGTTCAACAATATAATTGTTATACATTATATTGTACAGTGCAGTGTCACCGCCATGAGTTTCGAAATCTGAAGAAAATGTTGAAAGATCTCTGCTGGGATGACAGCTACACTACACATTGTACAATGTAGCTGAGTGGCATCGCTTGCCTCAACTTGCTCAAACAAAGCCAAATTAATTGGAGTCCTGGTGACGACAGTCAATGGTTTCCTCATACTTTTCCCTTTTCAAATCCCTCTCAAGTATGTATCTAGAGGGGTCACTAGTACTTCCTCCGTGTACAAAAACCTCGTGGATTTTTTTGAAAGCTGCGCACAGCTCTGGAATTGTTCCGTTTGACTCGGAATAACACTTGTGGCATTGTCTTACCTGTTTACAAGCTATACACAAAGAAAAAAGCAACTCAGACGAATGAGATTGAGTTATTTCATAGTCTTCGTCGCTCATGTCATTGTCACCTGACGCCGCCGACTCCGCATCGCCAACAGTCGCTGCTTCCGCCCGCATTTCGTTCAGATTCGTGTCACCTGCAGTGATGATCCGACGCTGGACTTTGGCTACGTCCTCTTCATCTCTAGAGCTGTGTACGAATCGGTGTCGACTATATTCAGTTATTCCAACCCGCGACCTCCATTATGCCGTGAAACGAGTCGTACAAGCACATCCACACGCTTCGCATTTTCTCGCCAGGAAAATCCTCCCAATGCATTCTACAATGGCTTCGAGGAGGCCCCTCCGATTCCCCTTGGCGACAAAGGAGACGTCTGACTTGAGAGAGGCGAAGAACGCCAGGCCATCGACATTCTGATCCTGAGTCTGCACGACGACTGAAATGTTTCATCTTGCCGTGGGAGCGAAACAAATCTATGTTCTCACGCTGCGTAGATCTATGCCGCGCGACGCAAGTACAACTAATTTACTTACAAGTACGAGCCTGGCCAGTTTCAGGGCAGCGAGTGCCGCGTGACTCCGTGTTCCAGCCACGAGCTACACTTCGTCACTGTGTCAGTTTCGAGCAAGTAAGTGTTAGTTTTTTTCATTTGACTCTTGAGTTTCTGTCGGCAACGTCCTCACACGCATGGCGTCCGTGGAGAATCTGTTCGGGATCAACCAAACTAACCTCGACATGGGCGTGGGTTGTCGATGACAGCCTTTGGCACCGTTCGTTGAGCAGGTTCTTGCTCAAAAACACCGTTCAAAAAAGTCACGAAGTTTTTGTATACGGAGAAAGTAGTAGTGTTAGGAAGAATTACGTCACAACGTAGACTACTCAGTGGAACTAACGACCAAGATAATGGATAGTGAGCATGGGCGAGCGCCCCCATGGGGATTCTCCATTGAGTTCAGAATGTTTCATGAACTCCCTCTTGCCTACAGCGTCTGCACAAAGAGAGGGCACGAAACTGAAAGAGTATCAGTGTCGCTACGACGCGGTAACAGAGTGTTGCATGATTGTGATTTTCTGTGTTAGCACTCAATCTGTTCGTGCCGTGAAGATTGAAAAATAGCTTGAAGGAAGGTCGATCATGGCGTTTTCGGGTAGTTGCAGAGCTATTGCGCTGATTGCCGTAGTGGCTGCGATGTGCCACCTATCTTCAGGAACTCCGTTACCTGTAAAAGCTGAACAGAGAGAAGTATGCAGCGAAGGCCAGCTTTATATAGGATCCCGGCGAACGAACAAGCCATGCGGAGGACTATGCCGCTGGGGGAGGAAGCTTTTTCTCGAGGGGAAAGTGATATTGTCTGCAGCTCGTGACTGCTGTCGCGCCAAGCCCAGAATCAGCTTAAAGGAGCCTCCCTATATTTGCGAGAAGACTCTGAACAAGAGGAAGAAGTGCGCATGTGTGTGCAGCATGGGCCGATTTCGAAGCTACCCGTTCCCAACCGACGGATATCGTACTGCCGATGGTGGCTTGAAGCCGTGTAAAGAGGTCAAGGCTGTGCTGCGGAGGATGATTTCCTAATCGATTTCGCCCTAGTTTTGGCCAAGATATTAGTTTAGCTGAGCTGCAAGTACATATTCAAACAAACGGACACGAGGACTGTTGCCTAGTACCTCATGAGACTGATGACTTGTTGCCAAAAAGCTCACTGTATCTTCATCATTCTGCATACTTACATGATCGTGTAATGATCCTATCTAAGAGATCTATTTCCGCATGAAGAACAAACTTCCTTGCTGTGGTGTTGTGAACGTGGGCAAATAGCGCAGTGTGGAGAGGTAGACAGTTCAAATTGTTCGCTGATTTTTGCTTTTTGCATGTCTTGCGGGACGCTACTCTCTTACATGTAGTGGAGAACATTGTATCTATGATATCAGATCATTCAGCTTGTTCCACAAGAGAAGTTCACTGAATCAGGAACACTATATTTCTTATAATCCACAGACAGAAGAGCTGGCAGTAGACATGGGCGGGTAATGCTAGCATTATGGCTGGCATTATAATCCCTTTTTTCCAGGTGGGATAATGCTGGCATTATAACACCATTTCGCATGCAAAATTGGCATTACATGCATAATAGCCGGTCGACAACGGTGTCATGCATGAAGCTGGCTAGGTCCAGTTCCGAAAATCGTGCATCTGAACCCGTCCGGCTTCGTCCGAAGACTTGGCGTTGCAAACCAACCATCTCAGTGGATTGTCAGTGGAAGCTTCCTCACTGCTGCTTAAGTTTTTTTCTTTTACGCTTTGGCCCTGATCCAAGACGGCCTTCTTAAATCGACTTTTCCAACTTTCAAACTGGCATTATGGAGTAGTGTGAGCATTATAAGTGGCATTATATCCTCATATTACGAGTATTACCTTGAGCATTATCGCAGCAAATAACTAGCATTACCCGCGCGTGCCTAGCTGGCAGTTGCTTTTTGTAACTCTGAGTTTCACGAACTGTATCGATCATCAGTTGTGTGAGTTTGCTGAGTCGTCCTTCTGACAACTGTATGCATACCAACCCACATCAGAATTGCCACTTGCATGCAACGACATCAGAACTTGGCATTACGATTATTGGGATAGCAAGAGCCGGAGTAGATTGAAAGCACAACCCTGGGTTGTACAAGGATGCGTCATTTGAATCGTGGCACGAGAAAAATGCAATGCTAGGAAGATACAATCATGATTGTACAACTTAGACCCTGTATGTACTAAGCGGTGTTGACTGTACAAAACAGCACAGTCAGACCTCGCTTATTCAGTCCTCTTTTATCCCGGATCTCTCGCCATCCGGAAGAAAATTGTTCGTTACCGATTTACAGCACACGTCATGCATCAATACAGCATTATGTGTTTTAAGCTAGGTCTGACAGTACAGTCAAAACCGCTTACTATCTAGTAATGTATTCTGCCCGAAGCCCACAGGAACACGTGAACATTGAAGGGGCTTTGATGCTGCCTCCCGACAATAGGGCTTGAAAGTGATGACGTCAAAAACGGCCTGGGAGTAGAAAGTTGACATCAGACTTCTATTTTGGATCCACTACGGTGTGACTTTGCTATGGGGCTGTTAAGACTAGTGATGACGTCACAGTTCCTTCGATACGCATAGCAACGATCCCACTGGGGACAAACAAAAGTAGCGTCGTCTCCACCGAACCAGTTGTCAGTGGCAACATATAGGAATCGTGTACATTTCTTCGTTTCTTCTTTGCTGTTTTCAGTGAGTGTTTTGTTTTCTCTTTGTCCTTGATCTCGACGGTGTTGTCGTGCTCATTACCTTACTAAGACGTCTCTTGTGACTGTAGCCAGTGTCACGGAGAAGTTTATTGGCGTGACGAGGTAGATCGCCGAGATCGAGCGTGAAAAACGCTCTGCATTAGCAGCTCCTGTAGAATGTCTTCTGGGATGGCGTATCCATGGTCAACAAAGCCAAGGTGCAAGACAGCATAAGAGATCGTGTAAACGATGTGAACTCCAAAAGGTAAGCTCCTGAACGAGTGGAAAGATATGTGTATTTACAAACTCTCTCTTCATCCATCGATTGCCGCTATGCATTGCATTTTGTCTTCACAGATAATCTGGACAAATAAAATTTAGAGAGTGCAATCGTGCTTGGGACCCATCCCAATGTCATCACATGGCTGTGGTGACTAGTGTATACCTGTACCTGGGAGAGTTTTTCCTCAACTGAGACGGAGTGTAGGTGGATGGATTATGAGAAATGCGAAGATGTGGAGTAAGTTGTGTCGAAGAAATGTGTAATAAAATATAATTTACTTTACGCTCAAACATACACTGTACATGTACATGTAACATGATAATGATTCCATCTTCATATCTCCGCAACAGGTACGCCATACGCACCGAATACATGGTGTGTGTGCAAGCGCGCGCGCGTACATGCACACACTCTCATGCGTGGCCGAGTTGGCCGGATGAACAGACCACGCATTTGCACGAGGTGTCCGTCATGTCATTGGAATGCTGTATTTTATGACTTTATTCCAAAATAGTATGTCTTGCCCTGTCAAATGGAGTTTGTGTCTATGCTCAGCGGGTATCGGGCCACGACGCCATACTGCAAGTCAGCGCTGGAATTAAAATAGCACTTCATGGATTATTTTAACTAATTTCCTTTGCGTTTACATGTACAGGCAGGCATAGTGGGATGGTCTAAGACCATGATTGAGAAACAGAGGGTACCAGGTTCAAGTCCTGCTTGGAAGCGGAAGGATTTTTTCCAGCCGTGCTGCGACCCACAGTTAATTGGGAACTCGTGGCCTGGCACGAGGGAAACATGGATGCAGTGAATGGGATTTCGGTCTTTGACCACTTTGTGGTGGGTCTGATCTACTCACCTCCCACCGTTTAGGAGCTGCATCTGCGCCTTGATCCAAGAGGGTGGTGGCGTTCCTGCGGATGCGGAAAACTGGGCCTTTGGCCGAGTCTCACGCGAACCGTGAAATTTTTTTTTTTTTTTTTTTTACATGTACTTTGTTGAGCCCGTGGTTTCATTTCTGTGTTCTGTTATGATTGGCCTCTGGAAATAATCGGAGTGGATGTCATTTTTGTCATATGTGTGTGCCTTGTGCAACAGGTTCAAGGCTAGATGCACTTCACATTCGGCGTGCAATCTCGGTGTCTGGGACCTGATAACGTCTTGGTTGGATGGGTAATCAAGGATGATACTACTCGGCACACCAATGTACATGTCAATGTAATTTTTACTTTTTCAGAGCTGCACTATTTACGGACGAATGTGTCTGTTAGAGAGGAAATAAATAGTATTCACAAACAAGTCCCACTTATTGTTTCTGTTCGTAAAAGGAAATTGCAATTTTTGGTCATATTGTTCGTTCCGGCTGTTTGTCATTGACTGTTCTTCAGGGTTGTGTTGCTGGAGGTCGTGGCCGAGGCAGGCCCAGAATGTCATGGCTTGATAATATTATTTCATGGACTGCACTGGACGTGCAGTCCCTGCTCGCTGCTGCACGCGATCGATTTTTATGGCGGTCGCTTGTTCATACTTGCTCTGGGACGCCTCGACGGCTTTAGGGCTTGTGATGATGACTATTTACGTCTTGATGCTTACTTCGGTGCTAGCGTGTTTCCCCCGGATTATTTCTATCATCATGCGTGTTCTTGGGCTGAGCGAGCACATGCACGAGTGTGCATCTATAACCCCGTGTATCTTTGGTTACACTTTGTTCTGCAATGCATGTACCTTGTAACAGTATGTGCTTGCACTGCTTTGTGTGATCTGCGTATTTCAGGACTATTCAGTGCATTAGACCCAGGTTGGTTTGGTTGCCGAATGATCTCTTGTTGCGTCGCTCTGTGTTTTGTATTCATCAATTTTTGGGCTTGAGAATTGAGCTGGTGTGTGATTCCCAATATCAAAACATCATGCTGGTGCTCTGTGTTTCGATTATCGACTGTCCGAGCAGTCACGATTCATTACCAGAACAACCAATACTGTAGTCTCTTGACGTGTTTGTCTTTTTGTGTTTTCGCCGGGGGAATTAGCGGTGACGTTGCACAAAGAACGGCAGTGTTGCATCACTGGACGACCCTGCCTCTGCATCTTTTTTTTTTTTTTTTTTTTTTTTACTACAAAGCACTGGCCAGCAACATAAAAGGGGAGGTAGACAAAAGTGGACAAGCGAACTTTGACAACACAGAGGAGCGTGGCATGCGTGCCGATGAGGTAGGTCAACCTCCCCCGACCTAGTGGTCTCGGGTTCAACAGTTGGTCTACGCATCAGGAAGGGGAAATGGACAGAGAAAGGGAGAATGAGCATGAGGAGCTTCCCAGGAGAGGAAGAGTGAGTGAGAGAGAGAGAGAGAGAGAGAGAGAGAGAGAGAGAGAGAGAGAGAGAGAGAGAGAGAGAGAGAGAGAGAGAGAGAGAGAGAGAGAGAGAGAGAGAGAGAGAGAGAGATAATAATAGAGACAACCGGTTATTCTCAGTGCTGGTGGACTTCAGTGGCCCATAGCCAATTGGTCTGGCGGAGGTGATGGTAGGCCTTGGTCTTGAATGTCGGCAATTTCTTGAGAGTTGGGCGTTCGGCGAGGATTGGGGCAGGCAGTGTGTTCCAGCTCTCCAGGACAAAGTATGGGAAGGAGCGGCGGATGAACTCTGGACTGGAGGCTGGCAGAGGAGTTGCGAGTTGGAAAGAGTGGCCACCGAGGGACTGGCGTTGCCGGCGCGTCCGGGGTGCAGCGTTAACTCTTGCTGGGGGAAGGTACCATGTTGGTAAGCAGAGCTGGACCTGGTATGCATTGCAGCTTATACAGGTAGCACAGCCCGTAAACATGCCTTCGGATTGCCAGGCTGGGGAGCAATGAGGGGCCAATAACCTTCATGGCTCGACGCTGGACCAGGTCCAGCTGATGGAGGTGACAATGTGCAGCACTTGCCCAGACGAGAGGGGCGTACTCCATTATAGGCCGTACAAATCCTTTGTACACAGTTAGGCGCCCTGCACTGTCCAGGATCCGAGATGCCTTTCGGAGCAGGCCGAGTCGCTGGTTGGCTCTAACGGCAAGGGAACGGATGTGGGCCCGGAAGGAGAGAGTACTGTCAAATAACACTCCTAGCAGCTTGAGCTGAGGGCTCTCAGGCACCTGCATGCCATCAAATGTGAGCTGTGGGACATCCAGGGATGGTCTGTGGCGGTCAAGGAGTATTGCCTGAGATTTTGATGGCTCGAACTTTATCTTCCATTGGGCACCCCAAGTCTGCAGGCGGTCAATAGATGTTTGGAGGCTATTGCAAGCAGCAGCGATGGTATCTGGGTTTCTGATTAGGGCATAGAGTGTTGTATCGTCCGCATAGACAGCTAGACTGGAGCCTGGGGCTAAACACTGTTCTGCATCGTTTACATATAACAGGAAAAGAGTGGGACCTAGGAGGCTACCCTGGGGCACTCCAGCCTTGATCGGGAACAGTGGGGAGGACTGACCGCCAACAACTACAGTCAGTTTTCGGTCATGGAGATACGACCTTAGCCAAGCCAGGAGTTGGCCGTGGATGCCACATTGCTGTGCCTTCGCAAGGACACCTGGGTGGGAAACCTTGTCGAATGCCCCGGCAATATCAACTGCCAGGGCATGCACAAGACCGCCGCCAGCCAGGGTAGTGGCCCAGGAATGCTGGAGAGCCGTCAGTAGGTCACTTGTGCCCAGTCCACGTCGGAAGCCAAACTGGGACGAGGAGAAGAGTTGATGGGTTTCCAGGTGGTTCACAAGCTGCCGATTGATGATACCTTCCATGATCTTAGAGATGATCGTCAGGAGAGATATAGGCCGGTAGTTCTTCATCATGGATTTGGGTCCTTTCTTGTGCACTGGAACGACACGGGCAATTTTCCATGATTGGGGCTGGACTCCATTTGCAAAACACAGGCGAAACAATCTAGCCAGCGGATGTGCTAGTTCAGCTGCACACTCCTTGAGTACTCGTCCTGGGATCTCATCTGGACCAGTGGATTTGGATGTGTTGAGACGCTTCAGGCACTGTTGGACTTCAGAGACGCGGAAGCGGATGCGCTGCAGACCCGGAGTGGTAGTGCGGGGTGTTGCTGGTAACTCAGCATTGTCGATGTCATTATTCCCAAGGCTACATTTTTCAGCAAAGAATCTAGCAAGGCACTCGCTCTTGGCTTTCGATGTACTGTGCTCGTGCCCGTCAGCATCAGTGAGTGTTGGCATGTCTGTAGTCCTACCCAGACCGGCGGCGCGCTTGACATTCCTCCACCAGTCCTTGTCTCTCATGGAACCACGTGTGAGACGCTCTCGGACTGTCTGCTCTTCAGCTTGTTGTGCACGATGTTGGGTTGTAATAGATTGAGTGACAGTTGTCATGAACGACTGCTTCAGGCATTCGCTGGGCCCCTGGTGACGCCAGGCCTTCCACGCTTTCTCTTTGGCACGTTGAGCCTCAGTGCATTCTGGTGTCCACCAGCTCGGATCGGACGGCCTTGTTTCCAGCATCTTGTGGGGAATAAACTGCAGCATCCCAGACACGATGTGCCTAGTAACAAGGCTGCATGCTTCCTCTGGGTCCTCCGGAAACTCAGCTGCCCAGGCAATGCGACGGTAGTGGGCACGCAGTCTGTTCCAGTCGGCTTGGCCATATCGCCACACACGCCTCCGTGTGCTGGGCTCATTTTCTAGCGGGGCTTGAGCGAGCACAGCGTGGACAACACAATGGTCTGACCTTCCTATCGGCGGCGAGATACCGGTGGTCACAGTACCAGTGAAGTCAGAGAGCACTAAGTCCAGGGTGTTGAGACCTCGGGTTGGTTCTTGGACATGCTGCATGAGGCTGTGGGCAGCGCTTAGTTCCTCCATGTACTCCCCTGCACGGGTGGTCTTAGAGCTGCCGAGCCAAGCCGTGTTGTGGACATTGAAGTCTCCGACCAGCATGGTGTGGGTGCCGTGTTTTCTGACGCTATCCAGGATGCCATCGAGGCATCTGACTTCATGTCCCCAGGATCTGGTGCAGATACACCAGACAGTCACTTCCTGTAAACACGCAAACAGCAAAAGAAGAGATCCCGCAAATCAGGAAAAACCATTGTGGAAAATATCGAGTAGATCATACACCATTCAATAATCTGGAGTAACTACTGTGAGACAAACACTTCAGTGCTCTTCCAAAATACCCTGTAACAATTCCCTAGAATTATTTTATTTTTATATTCTCAGGACATCATTCTGAACATAATAACTTCTTCCATGGGTCTTCAATCACCACGGAAGGCGAGAATATATCTAAGTCATGCAGTTTACGGGAGGTGCGAGCTGTCATGGATATAGAGGCTGGTATTACTGTGCCAGCGTGAGGGCGGAGACAGAAAGAAGACACTGATTTCTTGAACAACTCACCTACATATAATCGAATCCACAGGGAGCGCTCGTATTTTGATCAATCAGGACGCCAAGAATCTTCAAAGCACTCTCAAACACGGAGTTTTACAGTGGGCAGCCAATTTCACAGCCATTATGAAGGCCCTCGACGACTACAGGAGATTTGTAGAGGAAAGAACAAGGAGTAAAGAGCGACAACAAACGCTTGAAGAAAAAGCAAAGAAAAACTGCTCTCTCTCCAGTCATTTAGATGCTGTTGCCTTTGACAACTGGTTCCATCCAGAGGACGCGACTTTTGTTTGTCCCCAGTGCTCTCCGTTGCTATGCGTATCGAAGGGGCCGTGACGTCACACTTAACAGCCCCATTGCCTCAGTATGTGTATGTGGGTGTATAGCAACCCACTCATGTCGCATGCAGGTGCGACTTTTACTTCGCCACCAGTTGTCTGCCCGCTCCCATTAGCCAAATCAGTCAGTTTCACTGGCTACATCACCTTGCTGTGAGTAAGACCGCTTGAAATGTGCTTGGATCCATACACAAACTGGATCCAGGTGGATCCAGTTTTTGAATTTTTCAAATTGTTGCTATGCCATTGCTATGCTGTGACGTAGCACTTTCAGGCACTATTGTGAGAAAAAGAGCCGTTGATAACTGGTCCAGTTTCCATGGGATAATCAAATGATGGAATTATTACTTGAACACAAGAATACCACTGGTTGATCGAACACGGAAGGAGTACGCCACTATAGGAAAGCAGCATGCTTGTACAGGCAAAGAAACTGGCGTTGAGAATTTAACGATACGAGTGACAAATAGGGAAAAACAACAACAGTGATTGTAGTGAACCTTAGCTTCATTGCCCAGCCATGTTCCCTGGGTGTCAGTTTAGGTACAACAATTTAAACACACCCTGTGCTACTAGAGTATACGAGAATATGAGAGCATTGCATGGATCAGAGCTGTGGTGAATTCAATAGGAACATCATGTGAGTATCCTGCAGGCTCCCATAGAAATGAGCATTTGGAATGAAATGGTGGACAACGTGATCTGGTAAAATGGGACCGCAGGCTGTGTCATCCAGGCACAAATACAGAAACACAGACACGCGGACTCACACAGATGCACACAGACACACTATGCACCACACACACACACACACACACACACACACACACACACACACACACACACACACACACACGTGCGCGCACACACCATAATGTATACAAAAACACACACACACAACACAAGAATACTCTTTTTGATCAAAGCAGAGCTTGGTCCAGGATTACGGCACC